CTATGACTTGGGACCGATATTGTGTATAGACTCTAACACAAACGCAAATAGACAACACACACATACTCATATCATGACTAATATGAGAAATAATCAGGCAAATCATTCTATATTAATCTATGTTTATACATTTTCGCTTTTAGTTATGAGCATATATAAAGCGTGACAGAGCCGGACAGACTTTTAAGCCTTGTAGCTGCCGGATCTGGAAAATGGGTCATATTTTCTCTAAAAGACGGCATAATCGAAGGAGGATACCTCATGGACTGTCAACTTGAATGCGGTATTATTAAAGCCAAACGACTGCAGTACAAAGGCAATCAGCCGTCGTCCTCTGGTGAGATCGATCTCCATAGGAAACTTTCTCCCCAACAAAGTAAATATATTATCCTCGAGATCAAATACTGACGCTGCTATATGACGCTATCTAATACTAATTGCTGAGAGTGCTCTGTTTTTGACTTAGTCAATGTCAGTCAATGAATGATTTGCTATTAATTTCTGCTTCTCCAACATTAGTCATCTTTTTTTGGGAGACAAGGGTGACAAGTCGACGCATTAATAAGTGTTGATGTCCTGTTGTAAGCCAAGAAGTACACTCCTATCAGAATCGAACATGGAAATGCGGGACCTGAGATTCACACCCTGTAAGGGGTATGTAAGAAAGATGAACTATGTGGGACGATCAGAGGCAAATAATAAGAGAAGCGAGGACAGAGACAAACAGAGCAGATTAATCAAACGAAGAGCCAGGCAAATTAGGTCTGTTGTGAGGTCAAGTGACAGTTATGTCATGCATGGGTACTAGAACACCCTCAGTCAGAGAGCCACAGATTGTGGATACGGTTGGTTGCTGTCAGGGCTAATTGGACCAAATGAATATAGAAATACAGCTGAACACAAGAGCCAAAGCTACGAGGCAGATGTGTGAGCAAAGCTTTACGACAAGGAGCGATGAGTAAAAATAATAGTGAGCACGTTCATTTCATAAAAAGTCCATTTGCTTTTGTTTATATGTGTGTGTATTTTGTGTATGTGTGTGTGTGGCGTTGGGTCTATACCTCTGGGAGTTAGTTTGTGTTTGTTCATCACAAAGTGCATATCGAATGAAATGATTTCGAGATTGCCACTCGACGGCCAACCGACCAAGACGAGTACGCTTCCCTAATGAAGCAGGAGTGGAGGAGGTTTGTGCACATGGATCGGCGTGGACAAAAGGAAAGTGGGATAAATTATTGACCCAAAGAGTCAATACGCAAGTCTGCATTGGTTACTGAGGTGACTACATGTCTTTGAGAGGAGACGACCATGTGGCGGGTTAGGGATGCATACACAGACCGACAAGTGCAGGCGGATACACACGCTGGCCTAACAGAGCACAAACGCATGCAGGTATGCACACGACTGAGTCGAGTCAATGGAATGAGCACAGGGAAATCTGCCTCGTCTGACGATCCTCTGCCCCTTCATCGTGGACTAGCTTCAATCAGGCAACGATAGCTAAAATTGCAAGTGACAAATTTAGGTCACACATGAGTGAGGACAGCTGGACTGGTTAATTTACTCTCCATCCGCCCTGGCTCAGAGCCACATCAACCAATTTCGGGTCGAGGACGTAGACGAATGCATATCGACTGGCAGACACCAGCAATCAGATACATCCACGAAGCAAGGGACAAGCATGCATGTGTATAGTGAGTGTCCGGAAAAAACGTAACTTAGTACATTAAGCAATGTTGTTAGTGAGCACGATATTAGGTTGCGGGTGGTCCGACGTGGGGGCGACCGACAAGAGTTTTCGATATTGCAACAGTGGCCTGACGCCAAATGAATGGTTGATTTAATATCTGCTCACTTCCTTTTCGGTAGCCGAGGCCGGGGGAAACTGGGGCGAAGTCTAAATGTTCATGGTTGATAGAGGCAGTGGGTGAGCCAGAGAAGAGAATCGAGAAAAAAAGACAGCACAACAAGGCTAACAATGACGACCGATGTGGTCGTCTCCACTCACACGGATCGACAGCAATAAAAACGAGAACGGAGAAAGTGTCGTGGTCTGGTCGTGAGACAGTGACAGAAGGACGAGACATCCACCGCTCGAGTCCCGGAAACAGGCCCCGGCATTGAGTCCGGCACCAATCCCAGTGTCGCGTCGGAGTCCAGCCGAAATAAGTGGCACTAGGGACGCCCGGCCAAGTGGGAACCGGCTAGAATTAATGATTTGGGAAGAAAAGTTGGGCTTCGAGAAATAGCTTGGTTCATAATTGTTGAGCTTAATTACATTTTGAGTGAAAGTGTGTTCTGAAAGGATTCGAAGGTCGGTACCACGAGAAGACGACGGCGGATTCCTCTTGACCAGCTGAAACATTCTTGTCGACTCGGTTGCCGTGGAAAATGTTCTTAACTTGTCCTCCTCATATGGCAGAGTAACATTTTTACAATCATATTGAAGTTAACGCGTCAAGGAAACTCATCGGCGAATGCCCAAATGTATATGTATTCTAATAATATGCCAATCTAGAAGCACCTGTTCATGTGTGCTTATGTGGCATCATATGTACGTATATGTAGGAGATTATTTTTGCCTATTTAATGCTTACGTTTCAGATATTCTGCGATTTAAAAGGCCCTATTACAGAGGCTTGAGGTAATTCACGACTCTTTTTTCCACATCCAGTAAAAAAGTGTATGATGAAGAGACAGTTCGTGTCCAAGATGGAAACCTATCTGGCATGAAAAAACATATCGACAAACGAAAAGTCAGCACTTTTTCACTTGAATCGAAGAAGATCGTCTCGGGAACAATGTCAATAGAAATGTTTATGTAAAACCAATCGACAAAAGGTCGATCTTCGAAACTCTTCACCAAACACTTTCACTCGAAAGTATTGCACCCTCTACCGTGCATTATAATAACTGCACTCCTAAAAGTATCTCCAGCTTCCTCGGTTTTGTGAAGCCCGACAATAG